AAGTCACAACTTTCCACCAAGAAAAACTAATGTGCCCAAGTGAAATGTAAATGGCGAGGCAGTTGAATTGTTTTTATATCTGAACCATTACCTGAAAAAAAAAAGTGTTCTTTCATTTCCCTTATATAATCCTCAGCTGACTGTGAGGACCAGGACATCTGTTGCAGACATGGATGACAGGAAAAGTATGTCCAAAGTGACATAGCATGTAGACATCAGTTTCTCTGGGTTTTCTTTTTTTTTTTTTTTCCTCTATGGGATGGAGAAATGTGAATGTGTGTTGTGTTGAACCAGGGGAGCATAACCGCCGTGACAGAAGACATGTACTGGAGGCCTCTGAATGCAAAACTGAGCAGTCATGTGAAGACCTTGAAATCCACATCTCCATGGAAAACCTTGACTTCCAAACATTACTAGACACATTTATTGTGCCATTTGGATGAAACTATAAGCATGTGAAGAACTGAGTTAGTACACACATGCTCACTTCAAGATTCCAGCATTTGTACCTTTGGCCAGATCTTTGCGGAGCTGCATGACAGCACCCACGTCACAGTCGATGGAAGCATACGCATGAGGGATGGTGGTCTTGGACTGGGTCAGTCTTTGGGCAATCACACGGCGTACATTAGAAGCTGGCATCTCTGTGAAAGTTCCCTGAAGAGTACAAGTTAGGGGTATAATAGTTAATGATTGAATAAGGGAAAAATAAGTATGTTATCCCAGAAATGGGATGATCATTCAGAAGATGCTATTGATAGAGAATTAAGAGCACTTGATTATCCTGAAACCAGTTAAGAAAAAGGAAATATATAAAATATATAAGATCTCACTGGTGCTCCGGGTTTCCCTGGTACAGACAGAGGAGGTATGTTAGGTCTGCTGCCTGGAGGGGGAGGGGCTGCTGAAGGAGCCGTGGCAGGAGTTGGGGCAGGACTTGGGGCAGTAGGTGTGACCATGGCTGGGGTGGCTTTCATGGCAGGGGAAATCTTTAAAAGATTTAGTGCATCCCTGGAAAAGAAAAACAAACAGAAAAATGAAGTATTAGACATTCATGTGTACTTTTTACAATGTTCTTTTACAGTTTCGTTTATAGGATTATACAAACAAAATATTTTACTATTACTATTGATAAAAAAATAAGAAAACACGACTCAGTGGCTAATATTATTACTTGTCGGGAAATAGAAAAAAGAAAAAATGCTGTCCTAAAAAAAAAGTTTATTAGCCACATTTTCATGCTTATGGGCGCCCTATAATTCCGCCCTTTAAGAAGATAAACCACAGAACTAAAGGTTGCATTTCATCATGCCATTAATCAATATTGTTTTATGGAACTTAAAACAATGTGCTGGCTAATCTTTTTTCCCCAATTGAAACAGAGTATTTTTAACAGATACTGCATCACTTGTCTGACAATTCATCCTCAGCTCCTCTGCTTGTTTGTGTAAGCCTTGGAGAAAGGTAACTTTAGGTTATCCTCAGGGGGATGGGTGTCATGAGAACCACACTGAGCTCACAGACACACTCAGGCGCAACAGGATCAGCTGCAGGAAGGGATAGGCTTATTCAAAACCGAAGTTTCATTATCCTTCTTATTCTCCATCTCTATCGCTCCCCAGCTCTTCCCATGACTGAGCCGTCATAAAAAGGGTTTGGCATCCTATGTAAAATTAAACAATGAAAATTAGTCCCTACATTAAGGATACCTCTCATAATTAGAGGTATCATAGGCATGATAGAATTTTACCACGTGGACTATTAAGTCATTTTTTCAATGAGAGGATATCAAATAACCAACACTGCCCTCACTGGATGACAGAGAGATCACTTCTATGTTTCAAGCAACCGTTTCATGTGGGTTGGACATAAAGTGGATCCATGAACTGCCGAGCAAGCAGACAGCTAGACAGAACTGACATATTTAGAAAGTAGAAAAGAGAAGAGGAAAGAAATGACTGTGGATTAAGAAATACACACTGGTTCTTTTGTTTTACTCTTATTAGCAAAAGAGCAAGGCTTTGAGCCCTCTGATTCCAGTTGAGTGCACTGTGGTCCATCTATATGTGCCAGTCTTTTGTCTCGACCAGCAGCCTCTGACTTTACCAAGCAGCTAGAAACAGCCCGGGCCCCTCCGTATGATTCTCCCTGCCTTTCTGTGAGCACTCGTCTTTGCTTTTGTTTTTTTATTTTAGTCTTACAGATGAGGGTACTGAAGGTACTGAAGAAACTTGCAACTTCCCCAGATAACCAGAGATGACTACAGTGAGAGGTTTCAGGACAATTTCCACTACTAAATAATATGACTACGCCATACACAAAGAGTGGGAGAGAAAAGTTTCTGCTGTGGGCTGAACACAAGTCAATATACTTTACGATGACACCACTGGAATCTTTTGTGGAGCTGGCTGCCTAGTGGTTCTAACATCGACCAGTTGCACCCCAAATGACAGCCAAGACAAAGAAGCCTCTGAAATGGTAAGGGAAGGTGCCTTGAATATTAAAAAGGGGACCCAAACAGCAGATATTCTGGGTCAGTGATTTACACACTTACTTTATCTTCTACTGCCACCTAATCTAAGATGAAAATAGTAGAAACCTCCCATCCCACATGAAGTGCCTCACAATAACAAGCAACTTGTGGCCAAGGGGACAAAGTTATACATCTGTAGAAACACCAGCACCTTTTAAACAGTGCACATTGTCCTTTTATACTTGGATATAAGCCAGTACTTTATGCGTTACCATTTGTACCTTGGGTATTAGTATTTGTAGATCACAAATCAATTACACCAAAACACAAACTGTAGGGCTGTTTTTAAACTATACATCATGCAATAATCTCATCTCTGGGTTCCATGACATATGTTATTTATGTCTGATAAAGAGATATCCAGCAAGAGCAGATGTTGGAATAAGAGGTGATACCTTTCCCTGAAAAGAACTGGTATGTCTCACTGGACGATGTAAACAGCCATATTCATGAAGCTCCTTTTAAAGTGAGGGAAAAGTGTGTAGTGGAAATTGTAGGTTTTTCTCCCTGCAGACTGACGATTTGAGATGAAGTTCCTTCTTATCCGAAATGACTGTTATGGTGTTTATATTTGTGAATGAGCAAAAACATGCAAGCAGGCTATAATGCGTATGAAGTGGTATCTTAACCAGCATCATCATGAATACTCTGGAGAGGTTACCTGCAGTACTTGCAATACATGAACAGTGCTTGCATTTTCATATGCAATCCCCCTACAGAGTATGATCACAATAGGCTATAGTTTTGAGGCAAGATTTTAGCTTTTCCAGTTACACTGACTGTGTGTGTTTAAGAAGACCCCGAAAGTGTAGCATAAGGTGCAGACCTCAGCATTCAAAGCTAAATTTAAATACACACAGACACGTTATTTTGATACAACTAATATGTTTCATTGTGTGTCCACAGTTTTATTTTCCTTTCCCAGTTTTATCTGAGCATTAAGACTTTTTTAATGCAGAAATCTTAATCAGAAGTGTAAATTAATTGGCCAGGGAGCTATTCATGCAAGTCTGGAATTTGACAAGACAGGTGTCTGAGCACTACGTCAAATCAGGGAAATACACATTAATTAACTATATAAGAAACAACAACAAACAAACAAAAAATGTTACGCCTAAATCTGGTCATATCAACAAACATCAACATAAGGAACATTTTTCCGTCGAGTTGTCCGTAATTAGCATTTTCTCAATGTCTAATTAACAAAACTTTGTGTGTATTTCTCTTTTATAAACACATATACCCAAGAGCATATGGTCTGTGTTACTATGGTCACCAGTGGGTCTTAGAGACTGGGTTGCCATGGTGACAGAAGTTCTTTAATGAGATTCCCCAGCAGGCTGTTAGGTGGGCAACATGAGCATTCAATCAGGTCGCCTCGGTAACAGCAGGTAGCCGTGAGCCGTGTGTGTGTGTGTTCTCGGCTATTTGCTGTGCAAAGTCACCATTTACCTTGCCTAAAAAGCACCATCTTTTCAATTTTCCAGTGTTTTACATGGTTTTCTATTTAAAAAAAAAAAAATGTTCACACTGCCATCTGTGAAGGGAATGACGCGCCCTCTGGCTGGCATGTCCTCTCTTCACGGATGTTTCAGTGTGACATCTCTGTTCTCTGTTCTATTGGCCGATTCAAATAAGGAACGAACACCTGCTACTGACGAGTCAACCCATTACTAAACAAACAAATCCCAGCCCTGCTAAAGTTATAGGTATTTGTCAGCTTGAATTGTTAGCATGTATGGTTTATGGTGTATTTAAAAAAAACATTAATCATCCCAGACTTGTAAGTGGTAACTAAACTGACCTTGAGCTCTTACTGCAACGATTGAAGAGGGAAAAAAAGTTTTTGCATAAAAACTGCCAAGTAAAATTACATGGAACTTGGTAAAGATGTCAAATATGATCACTTTTAAACTGCTTTGAGACGACAGCTGTGGACGGGAATTGCTCTCTTTTTCCTTGTAGCTTGTGATAACGTCTGTCTCACACTCTTAAAATACATTTATTTAGAAGAATATGATATATTCACATTGTTAACATGCCAAAGAGGTAGATTTTTTCTATTTTTTGACAGCCTTAACACTAAAATTCCCAACACTTTTGTAACGTTGGTGATTTGCATGTGCAGGGGCCATGTTATGGGGCCTAATGGGTTAAAAAAAAAGACATCTTACATGTAGAGAATCTAGTTACAGTATTCACTCACTCCTTAGTGATGAGCCCTCTCTTTCCAGTGGCTGTGGCCAATTTTGGGTTAATACCATGGGTGTCCAGAATGTGTCTTGCTGCTGGACTCAAACGTAACCTGTAGAAAGATTAAGTGCATTTTTATTTGTAAGCTTCAGAAAACACAAATATATGGAGGACTCCAAAAGAATTGATAAATTCCCCAAAGTCCTCAACAGATCAGTCAACAACAGCTTGTGCAAAAGCTTTTTAGAACAATTTAATGCTATACCCAGGATAAAACACCACTGCACCCAGATAATTCATATCTGTCCAAGAGTACATCATGTTTTATATACAGGGCTGTAAAAAATTCCATTAGTAGTGCAGCACATTCAGCTGCTATCTCCCACTCTTGTCAAACTGATGTTGCCAAAATCCTTTTGGCAGGCCGGTTTAAAGGCATGCCAATATGTGAAAATTTGAGACATCGGTTTTATTAATAGTGGTCCCATTGCTTCCAACAAGAGCATTTATGGTGTAAACAAGGTTTGAAATGTGAACAAAGGAAATCTTGGTTTGTTAACTGATGGTTGAAACTGGGAGATCTGAAATCGACACGACTGAAATAGAAACTTCTTTTTGAAGTGACACTCACGGTCCTGATGTGACCGGCTTTGGTGGAGGAGCCACAACCGAGGCAGATGCTTTATGAACAGCCTGCGGGGCTGCGGGCGGAGGTGCAGACTGTGGAGAGGGGATCTCAACCTGCTTCCAGTCCTGGCCTTCCTCCACCATGACGGCGATGAGGGTGCCCAGGCGGACGCTGCGACTGCCCTCTTCCATCTGCAAAGAGGGCGACAGAGACACTCAGATGATGCAACGCTTCAGCCACTTCATTACGGCAACCGTCAAAGCCAGATTCAACGTGAAAGGCTGTCGTCTGAGCTATTTGGAAAGCTCAAATAAGCTCATGGAGCGCAGTGCCCCTGTTTGTATGCTTTTCTAGGCCGCAGGCCATTTATTTGATCCTCAGAGATGAATCAAAAGCATGAAGCTTGCCATTCTTCCCCAACTGCGTGAGGTGTTTCACAAATATACAGATGAGACTAAGTGAAAGGCTACGCAGAACACAGAGCGTTTAGAAGCTGAATTCAAGTTCTCAAAACATAGGAGGCAGTCTCTTGAAGGTGTGGCCCGTCCACTTGCTGTTGTTTTGCAACAAACTCTCTACTAGCTTTCCAGTAAATCTGATTAGCTGGCATCTAGTTAAAAATGGTATATAGAAATATATAAATAAGTAAAAAGGGAGGGCTTTATAAAATGACAATTTTTGAAAATGAATATAAATTTGACCAAAACATAGATCACACACACCCCTTCCTCTGGAAAGCTTGTTAAATTAAAAGCACTACCAATAATTACATGCAGCAACGTGGAAAGAACAGCAGAATGCAAACACCTGTGTACACTCGTAGAAGTAGGCCTGCCTTTTCTGTCCTACTTCAGTTCAAAGAGTACAGAACTGTCCAGCTTCATGGTTGGGGAGATAGTGAACAACAAAGTGTCAAATTAATTCGCATAAACACCGCAACGGCGAAACATGACATCAAATCCGGAAGAGAAGCAGATATAGGATCAAGCTTTGAACTATAATAAACTCATACCACAAATGATTCATGAATATTTTTTTTACCTCATGTTACAGTTTTAACTAAAATTACAGTTTTAAAAATGAAACAAAAAAAATATATATTTTTTTTAAAAAGTGGCAAATGTAAAATCAGATGTTTGTATAAACATTTGTGGATTGTACAGCCCATATTGTCCTCCACTAAATAACCTGTTCTGAACTGAAAGGGGTGATGGATAATCAGAAGGGGAGGAGCTTCACAAGAAAATCTAGTGCGCTCAATATCTCACAGATGTCTCAAGAAGGATCTTTCCGTGGTGGACAGTAGAGATGCAATTTTTCTTCCACATTAACTGTGTGACAGAATCATCTTTAAAATAGTGAAAAGTTACCTCTTTCAGATGTGCAACTTTGACAAAAGATAATCCCACTCATTGCGTTATCATTTAACAGCCAAGTTCTGTACTTAACAGCAACTAAAATCTTATAAATTAAGCCTCAGTCTGATCGCAGTTCCACATGTCATATTTGTAGTGCAAATATAATGGATAGTTATTATGTACTTTCTTCAAATTTGAACCAATTTGCATTAATGAAGGCGAGTTTTGTTAGAAAAATCTGTTAAACTAAATTTGCTCGTGATGAGAGACTGACAGCCTAATAGAATGCCGTTTTCAACAACTGCTAATTAGCCCATTAATGAAATGCATTTTCCAGCACTTTCCAGAACATTGTGTAACATTTGTACCACTCAACCTCTCTGACATCAGGGGACAAACAATGCAAACAATTTATTTTTATATGTGAAATGCTGCTTAATAGTTAAGCTGCAGGACTTCTGTTTAAAATTACAATAAGTAAATTAATATTTATCCGACCTTATCCAAAATACAGAAGCTCATTTTAAAACACACTCTCCACCGAGCCCAAAAGTGGTTTCCCGTTTCTTGGGTGGAAAGTTCAGTGGTAGTTGCATCAAGCCACACACCGCTGTCACAACACTTGGGTGGATTCTTTCAGTAAAAATCACATGTTCTATGGACAACATGCATCATTGGTAGCTGCATAAACAGATGGCTACAAATTCCACAGTGGTGAGGGGCTCAACACTGCCATCAAATGGTTACAGATCACATACAATGGGGAGTATAAGGTGTGTTTATACTGTGGTCTTTATTTCAAGCCAAGTCCATCAATAAATGTAATTTATACTCAAATAGATGCCACTATCAGATAGGATGACTGGTCGAACTCCACCTCCACAATATTATTACATTATTTCAAGTGTTACCAACACCAATGCTCCTAGTGTACAAAACTTTAATCATTAAAAACACATTTGCCATTATAGGTCATATTAGTTTGTAATTTACTGCTCATTATTAAACTAACTTATGTTCATTAAAATCTTATTTTTAAGTCTATTTACTCTACATTTTCCTGTGATGATTGATTGTCACTTTTAAATGAAAAATTCGATATGCATGACCTCAGATGATTAATTATTGTCCTCAAATAAAGACGGCTTATCCACATGATTCATGACTGTTCTGTGGGGGTTATATTCTCAAGTTAAAAAAACAATAAAAACAAAAATCTGTAATGCATTTCACTTGGGCTCGGAGGACATTGCTAGAGCTTACAATAACACTGATTTCATAACAAAACCACAGTTGACCAATTTTGAGTTTAGGAGTTATAGAAATATGCCACTTGGGATGTTCAACAGCTCACCAACAGCAGCCTTCATCCTGTTGGCTGTCAATGGTCCACTTAAGTCATAATAGATTTTCATTTAACAACGGAGCAGATTTGCTTTCCTTACAACTTGCATTATGTCAAATCAGTCAATTAATTGATACATGGATCAGTGTTGTAGCAAGTGCGCAAAGGGCTCGGCAGAACAGAACTGACTGTATTGCATCTGAACAGACTATTGTCCATAAGAGAAGATGGATTTTAGAATAGATATGCACATCCATTCTGGGGAGAGACACGAGAGACTGTGTGGTACAAGGTTTGGCTCTGATAAGTAGAGCATGACAGATATTGCAGAAACAGGGCTGCAGCTCCATTCCTCATCTTAGCAGCAACAGCTTGTGGTTTTCATGGAATCTCCCAGACATGAAATATCAATAAAACCTCACATAGACTGCAGGCTAAAAAATCAATGGATACTTTTGAGGAATCCGGTAGCTACAGATTCCATGTTTCCACCCTAAAGCTTACATTCTTGTCTTTGTTTAAGCATCCTAAAATCAGCATTTTGGCTTTTTTGTCATTGGCCTACAGAACTCAACACAATTCATTCTTTTTTTTTTTTTTTTTATTGAATTAGGGGAAACATAATATGTGCCTGTTTTTAAAACAAATAATTTCAGATTGAAACCTTTAAGTCAGGGAAGAGTTAAGAATCAGGAATAAAATTAGAAATATGTCCTTGCAGCGCCAACATTTCTACTACCAGCACCCATATCACAATATGAGCAGAATCCAGCCCCGGGTCCTTCACTAATGACCACAGCTGGAAAATGTGAGAGGGGCATAGTGGTGCTTCGGCCCCCTCCACACATAATCCCTGCAGAGCTTGAGTTCAATGTCAGCTGCAGCCTGTCCAGGTATTTGACCACAGGCAGATATTTGTGCTAGCCTCTAAAATAGAAGCCTACTGGGTTTCTTGGAGACTAATGACAACATTGTGAAGGATAGGCCAATGTCCTGTGGCCTATACAATGTGGATGCCATATTTGTCAAGGCAGATTTGTGAAAAACTGCCAATAACTGCCATTTCTATTCCTGTTAACAGCACATGCAGCCTGTGTAAGGGGGGAAATACAGAATGCTGAGGGCTTATCTAATGCAAACCATCTTTCTTTCCCAGCCAATGACCCTACCCCCAATTCTCATGTTGTTGCTATGGAAACTACCTCATCCCCATAGTCACTAAGACATAGAGGGAGCACAAGAATGTGAAAAAAAAAATTAAAGCCAGTGAAGTGAGAACCGTGAAGAGGAGAAAGGTACCAGTGGTTTATAACTGTAGAAGGAAATTATCTTCTTAAATAAAAATATACTTACTGTAAGTGCACAGTGATAACATGTATTTCCTGCCTGGCAGCACTGGCTGTCTAGACTGGTTTCTAGCTTTGTAAACCGGTTTTATGAACAGATACATTGTCCAATTAGACCCTAACCAAGTCGGGCATCAACACAGAATAAAAAAACACTGAAGAACTGATTAAGACAATGCCCATGCAAATGAAATAAAACATCACAGGCATCCAAAAAGGTCAAGAGAAAACATTCATTGACACATTTAGATTACAGTGACATCATAACTTTGACGTCCTGCCCTTTCACATACTGTAAATACATAACAGTTAGGCAAAGGAAGAATTACATCTACGTTCTCAAAGGGACAAACAAGTGGTGAGGTTCAAATGAATGACAGCTGATTGCTCAGTATTTGGCAGCCTATCAAAATACAAACAAACAAATGGCACACTGGGGGGAAAAACATTTCAAAGCAGTGAAGCCTCGCCAAGGCTTTACCGTCTTTGTTTGGACAAGCAGATTTAACAAGTGCGACTGATTAGCATACACAATGAAGAAGCCCCACATGAATATGAACCCATTCCAAATCTCATCTCTGAAAACCTTTGCATAAATATAACAGCATCTGAACATGCACAACCTTCTGGTGTCAGAGGTTACGTCACTAAATCCATTATCTGGATTCATGTCAAACTTTAATTTGCAAATAAACCTGTACTAACCATCTACAGGAGATTATGATAATGCTTTTGCAGGTTTTGCTCACTTACCAATATCTTTGCCAAGATGCCATCTTCATTAGATTCCATGGTCACAACAGCCTTGTCGGTCTCGATCTCACAAAGAGCATCACCTGCTACCACTGCCTCACCTGTAAAGGAAAAGAATCCGATCAGGCCTTTCAAATTCACATTAAATTGGGGTCCGCTTGGCAGCCGCACAAAGGATGAACAGACGTCCTTTGACAAACTCAACTAATTGTAAGCAGTTCACTCCATTTCAGTTAGAAATATCATCAGCTATCTAAACCATAGAAGTGGATGAGATTTCTTAATTTTTTCGTACATCAAGTGTGATGGTGTACAGTTATATGTTAACACCTTGGCTGATGCCAAATGTTATGAATAAAAAGTGTTTTTGGTTAATGCCTATGTTAAGCCAATATGTTCTCGAATGCAATTGAAACCAGGCACAGCGCTGATGAATCCATGTGCAGAAAGCTGAAAAAAAAAAAAGGGGGGGGGGGGGAGCAGATCCTTGGTCTCAACTACACCGGAATAAGGCAAATACATCTGGAAAAAAAACACATAAGTAAATTCAAATAAAACTTCTCCTGGCCTTTTAAAAAATGAGGTTTAAAGGAAAATATTATCTCAAATGTTTGTCAGTTCAAGAAAGATGTAATTTGAACCTAAATATTTTTTTAACTGAAGGTGGACTGAGATTAAGTGGCTATATGTGTTTACTGGTCTTTATTCTTGAGGTTGTGGTCCTTCTAAGAGCTTGAATAACAAAAGCCAGAAATCTGTTCAGAAGAAGCTAAAATACATTTTAGGATTTTTTTATGTTGTTTCTTAAATTGCTTGTTAAAGAGGTTAAAAAGGTTCTTTGTTTTTTTGTTTTTTTTGCTGTGCAAGTTCTTTGCATGCAATGTTTTTTGTCCTATTTTGGCACTAAAAATGTTCTCCCTTTTCTCAGCTACACACATCTCACCCTTACAGAGAAGCACATGGCAACAATGGAGCAGCCAATCAGAATTCAGCTTGCTCGCTCCTGATGAATGAGTGTGGCTGAAACACCTGCCTGAGCAGAGTTGCTAAGCAGTGATGTTGCCTTGAGGAGCCAATTTACCCTCAGGTGATCCACCGCTCAAAGAAATGCAATGTCACCCAGTTAATTACTTCAGTGCAATGAGAGCTGCTGATGGTTTATCAGTAAAAACCATTACAGAGCTTTACTTTGAATGAACATAGGCTGAATATGGTACATGCAGAATTATACGTACGTGCAGGGCCATTAAAGTTTATTATTGGTAAAACTGGGGAAATTTAAGTACTAAGACAAGTTATCCATTACTCTAAAAAATATTGACAGGTTTAACATGTAAGAAATAACAAAAAATAGGTACAAAAACTATGCTGAAAGAGCATTGTTTTATTATGGGTTTAGTTACCTTCTTTCTTCAGCCATTTGACTATGTTTCCCTCCTCCATAGTCGGAGAGAGAGCTGGCATTTCCACTTTGAGTGGGCTGACACCTAGTGGAGAGACAGAAAGCAAAACAGCTGATACAAGAAGTGACAACATCGAGAAGAAAGTAAAAAAGGATCTCTTGAGAGAGGCCTTTCATCTTCTTAAACTGTACTGTGTGGATGTTCACGAACTAACCATCAAATCAAATTGAGGAGAACATTGGTTGTCTACCAGCTCTGGGGATTAATGACAACATATAACAAAGAAACAGTGCCAGAAGCTGCGTAGCTTTGTGCATATCCTGACATACACTGAACCATAAGGCTTAGAGGATTTCATGCTCTTGTGCGTCTTTGAGTGGCCCTCAGAGCAACACAGGTCACTCACTCTTGTCAGCCAGAAGGTCTGAAATCAACTGGCTCTCAGCACTGTGATGAACTGAGAAAGGTTTTAACTTCTCTCCAACTAGTGCCTTAAGGTAAAAGTATTTCTTTCTTGCAGATCTTCAATATTGTTAAACCCAGATGAAAAGAGATTGGAAAATATATTTCCCATTGTCTTAAGATATAGCTTCAATTTTTGTCACTTTTTTGCTGGACCTTCAAAGTTTGCCTCATGATTTACTTGCTCCCACTATGCATAAAAATATGTCTCTGTGGTCCATGTTGGGTACTGCTGCCATCTGCTGGAGAGTTATGCTAACTGGTGATTTTCGACATTTTCAAGTATTATTTTTGTTACTTTGTCACAAAAAAGAGGGAACCTTGAATATTCTTTAATATACATTTAATATAGATTCTTATTTCATAAGTATGTTGTATGTCTTAATGTGCTCATATCTTACTTTAGATAAAAATGAATGAATACATAAATATATACAGTTTGCATCAGTTATTTATCTTTCAATGAGGCTGGACTGTAGCTTTGAGCAGGATTACATTCTCTTCTTATTTCCAAAGACAAACCTGGTCTATTGGAGACATAACCTAAATTTAATATAGTGATCTGAAGTCAGAATATCATTAAACCTCTGAACAGTCTTTCAGCAAGAAAGTTGTTATCTTGTATAATTAGAATTAGACTTCAGAGTAGAGTAACAAGTAAAATTCTTTAAATCCTCAATCCACAGGATTAATTCATTCACATTATATTTGTTGCTTTTCTATTTAAATCTACTTCTATTTAACACAAAAACTTTAATGAGCATGTGGAAGTTAAACCGACACTTGAATAAATATAATAACGGACAGTCACTAGTTTGCTGTCTAAGGTCACTCAAACAATTATTTCAATCATCTTTAAAATATTCAAACACAAACAAACATCCAAACACACACACCCACACACCAACACCTTTGAAGCTAATGACTTCCTGGAAATAATTGTCTTAGCATTGGATCAGTAATGTGATACATGTGTGTCTGCAATAATGACGTGCAAAACCAAAGAATCTATCTATTTTTTTTCTACCTCCACCTGTTCTCTAGAAAAAATAAAATCTCAATAGTTTCTCGAGCATCTCTCAAATGAGCAAACGTGTGTTTTTCAAAGCGAAATCCTTGTTGGATAGACATCAGTTAGTAGAACATGTCTGCATAAGCAACAGTCTCCAAACACGGGAGACACTGTTGGCAACCATAACAGGTTGATTATACTTTGGCATGAATCCTTGCCTACCAGCATTCTTTGGAATGGATTCATTACATTACTGAAGCTCTCATAAAAGGAAATAATATTTGTTTGACTGTGCTACTTTGTGTGTTTATGATGAAGTATAAAAGGTTTTTAAAGACGTTAGGTAAGGTCTCCTATAGGTGTAACCTTATGTTGAGACACAAAGGCTGTGTCCTCTCATAACTAATAGTTACTAAGTTACTAAGTTTTGCATTTAGTGAAAATTACATCATGGAATGAAGGCGATTTTCCAAAACAAATTTGTTTCCAGTCTTGACAGATTCCAATCCATGGCAAAAAGAGTTCACAAATGTATACGTATCTATTATTGTATTGCTGTTTTTCTTTTTCTTTTTAAAATTATATATCTTTAAGACAATGCCCGTTTCCCTTTTTCTTTGAATATGCATTCAAATATGGGATGAGGGGGTAAATGAACGTAATTCTCCTCTAATACCAACAGCAATGTTAATCTTCCTCTACGTTTTTGTTTTTTTTAATCAATGTGATTCTGGCTTGCATCATTACTGTGGTTACATAAACTTATATTTAGAGCTCTTGCACCTGTATTTTGGACATCAGATGTGTTCAAGCGTTATCGCCAACATGTATTCACACATGTCTGACATCCAGAAATTAGGTGCTGTTGCTGAAAGATATATCACATTCGATGTAACGGTGTTGCTTGTGGCAGGAACAGCATACTACATCGTCATATTACTGCGACAGACTGTACAATTTATCCTTTTTTGTAATCGTCTTCCACTTGGCAAACATTATAACAAACTGTCGTGTATCAACACGACTGCAAACGACTGTAACACCAAAACTGACGGGAAAGGCAAATGAGGATGAGCAAATGTCAACGACTGTTAGCTCAGAAAGGACAACAGTTACTTTCATGTTTGCCAATCAAGACTCACCGAGCAGCCATTGTGACTGAAAGAAGTGCCTGATACGACCCTGGCAATGGTGAGTTGCCCAAGAAAATTTGTTCAAGTTAGACAACTTGAGTCCAAATAGTACTCCTTGACGACCCAGACGCAAGGAGACCGCCATGTTGTCGTCCTCCGTCGGTAAGAAACGTCCAAACTACTGCCTGACTATAAAACGAAGACCAACATAACGACGTACACTTGCATTTTTTAGAGTTGTAGTTCTAAAACATTATATATAAATATATATAAACATATTTTTGGGCGACAATATCAGTAACAATTTAATAATAGTGACAGGAAATAAATTATTAATTAATTTTAACGTCTACCGGTAGGCAAAAATAGAAACACACTTGATAGGCGATGTGAGGTCCTTTTTTTTTTGTTTAAACTTTATTGAATTATCTGCTGACGAAATTGAACAAAGGTAAATTACATTTGTCACAACACAGTCCAAAGCATACATAAAACCGAATTTTATATATATAATATTTCTGTTTGATGATGGAATGTGTTGTGCTAAAGAATAAAAATGTTTCACAGATGTTTTGTGCATTTTTAATGTCTTTAATCCTTCCTGTATGCATCAGCCCAAATCTTTTTTTGTGACATTAAAACACAATGACGACCATTTTGAGCAGATATTTTTACAGCTTTATTAAAAACAGCTGTGTGTTATTTATCATCAGTATTAACGATGACGGGTAGGACATATTGGGAATGACGCAATCCAAAGGATGAACTTGGAGCTTTTGGTCTGGTACAGATCACCTGAGAGTTAAAAAAAAAAAAAAAGCATACGCATAAACAAAACATCTACATATTTACTCAGATTTTCAGTATTTATCTAAAATTCAGACAATTCTTACCTTCTCAGGATAGTAAGCTCCTGGTCCGGGTTTCTCTGTGTTCTCATCAGGAGGAAAGTTACGGCCTGTAATGCTGTGCTGTGGAGGCTTCTTTCCGTATATATAAGGAGACACAGGCTTGTAGGAAGCTGGGCCTGGAGTCTGGAGGATAAGCCATAGTATAAAAATATGCTCAAATATACATATACATTTAAAAATATATGCATATTCATTCATCAGATTAAGTGTCTGTTTATCTATCTACCTTTTTCAGATCCTGAAGGAAGCTCCCAGTGTAACTGCGAGCAGTGAGTGTATAAGAGGGTGCTGAAGGTATGTTCACAGTTGTAGATCCCAGCATAGGGGGCAGAGAGTATGTGGCTGGACCTTTAGTGGAAGCCATAAGAAAAAACAAACACTTTCTTATATGAAACTTTAAAATTTGTTAAGGACAATATTGCATCTTACCTGGTGTAGGGTCATTACTCAGATCTTTGCTCCTCCCAGTCAGAGAATAAGCAGGAGCCTTGTAGAAGGTCAACTTCTCACCACACTCTGGGGAGTACTGTCCTAAAATGCCATAGAGAGTTATATAGAGACATAACTGACAGTTGGGCTGTTTATAACAGAGCTTAGTGCAATTTCATATGTTGATGTTCTACTCCGGGCTTCCCTAACCTGGACCAGGGGCTCGTAACAACTGCGGCTCTTTTTGACGGCTCTGGATTGAAAAAGCAGGCATGCTCTGGTGGCCCTGTCTGCTTATGTTGGAGGGCAGCAGATATTTTGGTCCTGGTGAGCAGCTGGTATTTTGCTCCTTTTGGCGTTCACCAAAGGAAAACACTGGTGCCTTCTTTTTGGTAAGATCATGTTGATGATTACCTTTGACAAAGACCAAGGACAGAACATTTTGATAACTAAATGCCACAATAGTGATAGTGAATTGAATGCACCATTTTAGTTTTACCTGTAAGTGAAGGCAATGCATACTTAGGCCCTGGGTTAGCATAGAGGGCAGCTATTGGTCCTCTTGGCTTGTGGGGCCTCCAGGTTCCAACCCAAGGTTCATCATTTGTCTTAACGGGCATTGTCCTGAAAGAAGAAATATGTTTTTTTGTTGAAACAAGAAGTGAATATAAGGAGTGTGTGTGTGGTCGATCCTCTTTGTGTGTCTATATGTGTGCCCCTGCGATGGACTGGCAGACTGGCAGACCGTCAGGGTTTACCCTGCCTCTCGCCCATTGAATACTGGGATAGGCTCCAGTCCCTCCGTGACCCCATTTGGGTTAAGCGGTTCAGACAATGGATAGATGGACTATTAGGAGTGACTATACATAAGATATTATAAAAAGGTTACATTTATTGTCATGTGACTTACAGATTACACAATGTGTCACAAATGTATTGATTCAGTAGAGGTTCCTTATTGAAACATTCTCTATTAAGAATATTAGAATATTCTAAAGAAACATTCTGTTCTCTAAACATCTCCTTGGTGACGCTTGACATGTCACATTACAACATAACCAGCCATCCACAGCTTTTTTATTTTGAACAATAACAGTTCATTTGAGCTAAAATTTTGTTGAATATAATTTTAGAGATGAAGATCCTTTTGAAAAAATATCTTGTCATCCATGAAGTAGTTAATTACAAAAAGCCAAACATTAATTTATGAATTCAACAGTTTTTTTTCAAAAATCCTTCAAAAGCAGTTTTAATACTCACCCGTGAAAACAAATTAATGCTATGATAAAGATTTAAATAGATCACGATCTAAGTGAATTAATCTGAAATAATTATTTTGTTTTTTAATTCTTTTAAAAGCCTGCTGTATTAATTAATTAAAGATGAAATTGAAATAAAAGTTAAACCAATTAAACACCAAACATTTCTCAGCACCAGTATCTAACAATTTCTTGTAATATCCCAAGATGTCTTTCAGTTGTGCACACGCTAAATTAACAGCAACTGTTAGTTTAACTCTTAAACTGACTCAAAATAAGCAGATTAATGAGTTTACCTAGTCAACCTTGGAGCAGCTACAAGTGTCCTTCTCAGGCTGTATGTCCAGCGCCCAGCATCTGCAATGAACCTAAAAATAGATTTAAGTGCTGTTGTTGTTTCCATGACAACACTGTCTTAGTTCAATCAAAAATAATATCAGGGAATTCCGCAGTCTTTAAAATAACACAGGACTTTGATGATTAAATTGAATTAATATCTTATCAATTTCATGTCATCAGCTCCCAGTTTTGCTTTTGGAGGTAGACACCCCCTCTATTTCAAGGTTTTACTAAAAACATTTACCCATATCATAAATTACTCTCAGAAGATCCTGTTGGGACTTTGTGTAATTAATTGGATCAATTGAATTGAATTGAAAGCCTTTATTGTCATTGTACACAGTAGATGAGCACCTGCAGTGCTTTGGTGAAAAAGGCCAGAAATATTCATTTATTGCTATCAGAAAATGTAAACTGGAACACAAAGTAAGAACATTACTGAATTCTTTCAAACAAATATTTTTTGTGAGGATGTCTTTCTTGGTTATCTGGGGATTCTTTTCACTCACACACAGAAACGTTCTTCGACGAACAACTCAAAATGATATTTTTTCTGGTTTGACAAGATTGACAGAAGTCTAGACAAAGTGCACTCTGATGAAATGCTGTTATCTTTGTCTTTATTATCTAAACATTCACTGTGCAGTTTTAAAACAAGGAAAAGACGAGTGCTTCCAGTAACTGCAAGGGATTTTTCTCCACCGTTCTTCCTTCAAGAATGCAAAAAAAAAATTCTCAGTCGCGAAATCGACACTGTTTTTCTTGTTTGAAGCCATTATGTAATAGATTCAAATGAATGCTGATTATTTCTACCCAGCCTTATCAGGTAGAGAGCCACACTGTTTTGTACAATGTGTTGTATGGCTTTAGATAAAACTGAGAAAGTCCATTTTTAAATGCTTTGGGATGATAACTATTAAAATTTTCAGTTGTCATTTGGAAATGGTAGATTGAAAATATGTGAAAGGTTATTCAAACCAGGAACCCAGGCCCAGTGATTAATGTTACAGAGTCCTATCCAAATGTCCCAGCTTTGTCATCATTGTCACTATTTCCAAATCATACTGACCCCAGGAAAAAAACACTACAGTGATGGCAAAATAATTCTGATGGAAATGAGAGGTTAACAATCATTAATGTATAATATATCAGTCTTTTTAGATTATGTTTTTGTACAAAACATGGAAAAGAGTCTGTAAAAAATACCTACTTTACTTTCATTTTACGACTAAAAACCTTCTCGAGATAATTAAACACCTGCTTTGACCCCAAGAGTTCTTCTGAAAAATAAAATGCGTCATCAAATGTTCCATGTGACAGTCTTTTGTGCACGTGTGTTTTGCGGAGGAATTTAATGCCTGAAAAAACAGATAGGGAAATACACAACAGTGGAAAGTCCAAAAATCTGAGCAGGATATTGGCCTCACACTCCAACAGCACGAAAATACATCTTTGAATTATAAGAAATACTTCCTGGTGTTTCGGCCAAAGAAACACACAAACTCCTGTAAATGCCTCATTGCTGTCAATTGTTTATGTGAGCAAAGCAGCCTCGGGGACGGGTTTGTCTTGTGCTGTCTCGTGCCTGTGAATGACACATTTGATCCAGTAACAATGGACTTGTTATGCGTGTATTTACTCATATGATAGAATGTTTTTTTTTGTGGGTTTTTTGGATAAACTTATAAAATGATGCTTCTTTTTTTGTGGTGTTCACTGGACTGAAACATTCGGCCATGCTTGGAGTAATCAAGGCTCATCAGTGACGCAGCTCCAATCTGTCCAACTCACAGCTTTAGCTGAATACCTTAAAGGTCCATTTGAGTGTGAAGAGAAGATGATAAAAGGCTCTGATAAGATGGAACAGTGTATCTCTTGAGAAAAAACAATGACTCTACTGAACCAGGACACAGATGCAAAATCCAATCTGGTTGTCTTCATGCTCATGCATTAGACTATCTTTCATCACTTCCTTGTTCTTCATAGTGCGCATATCTGATTGAATTAATATCCTCCCTCTTAAATGATAAAATAGCCTTTAGTGCCTCATTCAAATCTGGAAATTATTATTGGACAATAAAAGATAAAGGACAGCTACACATCTTTCCTTTACCTTTTTCTTTTTTTCTTTGACATAACAAATGCAGTCATTGTTTCTTAAAACAAAGACTGCGCAGGTCAATGCACTACCAGTTCCATTGTTCAAACTATGGATCAAACTATACTGAGTAAGGCTATTATTTTGATTGCTGCTTTATATAGAGAGCTCTGCTTGTTAATGTGAAACAAAGGGTTTTATATCTCTTTTCCCAGACAGTGTGTGTAGCATTTTCCTTCTCATATCTATTACAACCGGTTTGGGTGCATGTTTGCATGCATGCTCTCACTGTTTGCCACAGATGCCCTTAAACAAAAGCTTGTACTGTAAATAGATGTCATGCTGGTTTAATGGGGCTTTCTGTAAGATCTATGGCACAACGACCTGTCTCACTTGTCTTGTCTTACCATACAAATCATAGGCCTCAGAACATGATGTATGTAAAGGTTCCATGATTTGAATTGGATTTTATCAGCCTTTAGACATCCTGACAAACTGAGAGTATGTAAAGCATGGTTTGTCTCTACTAGGAAGTGATCTGTTAGGAAAATTAAAATTAGGAGAAACTACTGTCTGCCATGGTTGTATCAGTTAACAACATTTGCATCATCTTCAGTTAGTCACATTAAGCTCAACAGCCAAATTCTGTCAAAGTGAAACCAAGGCGAGCTGGGACATGTTTCTTTCTTTCTACCTCTGATAATATGATGTTAATTCCCCACTCTTCTAAACTATGTTGATTTGCAATTGAATAATGAAAAAAGAGTCTGGATTATGTGGGTAGTTACATTTTGTTAAGAATTTAAGAAGTTTAATGAAAGTTTGATGATATAGATATTAAATTATTTGTTTTTAGCTGCAAACCAGTTACTGTACAAGTGTAAATGACAATATTTCAAACTTTGGGGATAAAAAACACTTTTCAGGACTACATTTCAATGAATTATATGAAATGCAGCTTCAGAGTTTAAAGTGTGATTCCTCTTGAAACAATGTCTTAACAATATAGTATAATAGATAATCAGTTCTATACAAATTGCTTGTTGTTTATTATACAACAACAATGTGATTTCAATCCATTTATGAGCAGTCATTGGCTTTATTGTGTCCTTGGTTGTAATTTTCCATAATTCATTCCATTGACTCCTTGATGGAATGCTGAATCACTGTGAACTCTAATCAAAAAGCTTTTCCTGTTAAGAGGAAGTGTTGCGTTCCTTTTTCAGAAATTTCCACCAGGTCTTGGCATGAAAGACTTAAGAATGATTCCCAGTCATGACAAAAAACTACATTTCCGTAAGTCTTCATTATGATATAATTAGCCTGTGAAATTGACACATCATTAAAAACATCAAATGAAAGGGATGCAACTGTGGACTGGACAAATTATGAAGCCATCTGCAGAGATAGAGACAGAACGTAGTGTCAAAGAATGTCACGCTATGGAAAGAAGGGCTGCTAAAGCCTGATAAATCAAAGGGAAGATTAGACATGAATTTGCTTGCAAACACAGGCTAAAGAAGGGAGCCTTTTAATGACACAGCATTTATCTCCCCGGCCATCAGGAGCTAGCCATTTGTCTGCTGCCTACGGGAACCAGCCTGGCAGCTGAGGCACACAGTTTACCGAGCAGAATTCCACCGTGTCACGATAGAACAGAAACAACCTGCAGTGTCTGCGAGTGCATCTCTTTTCTAAGTCAAGCCTATAACAGATTCAGCACAATCACAGTTTAACAACTCTAAATCACAGACTTTTGACAGTCAACATTGATAGAGTTTGTGGTAAAATAAATAAATAAATTCTGCAATTTGAATCAGAATGGCGACAAGAAAAAAAATCTTAGTAGTTTTGAATAATGACTTCAATAAAATAAAAAGTCACAACCTTTATTAGTATCAACAAACATGTACACACGTTTTTTTTTCTTCTTTTTTTTACATACAACTCAGTATAAGCAAAGTATGAAATAAAATAAAACATTTCAGATTTTTATTCAACTTTAAATGCTGATAGTGTGTTGCTTGTGTATACTTGAACTTCATTGCAGCATTGTGCTTTGGGAATATTATTTGATTATTTACTTATCTTTTTCTGACTTTAGAGATAAAGCATCTCTCCCAAATGACTCTTCACACTATCAGTGCCTAAGCTTGCATCTGTTTGCTACAAAAATGTTGACTGCTATATCAATTATTGCTCCTGTGTTTACGTCCACGAAAACACAAGGTTCACAGTGCTGTATAGCCGTTTAGAAGTTTTCATATCTTTTTTTTTTCACCATTAGTGAACACATTTTATGTTAACACCTGCTTCAATTTTGGCTGTGAATAAGGCACATTAAATAGATGAACACATTATCAACAAAAGAGCTAAAGAATGGCGTAAACAGAAAAAAGAGAATCTGTGTAAACGGTTCAAACACATCTATGTAAAAATGGTCAGTAAAAACTGTATCAGAGCATAATAGTTATGCACAATAGCGTTAGAAAATATAAATAATTGAAAGTGTCACTTCTCCGTCTCCCTCCATCCTCTCGCATTCCTCCCAAACTTGTACACCAGTCTGCGTCCATCTACGCGTTCCAAGATTTCTCTTTTGTAATAGTATCTGGAAGAGACAGGTAATGACACACACACAAAAAATAATCATGTTTAAATGGCTAAA